AGCGAGGAGAAAGGAGAGCCAGCGTGCCTCTTGAGCAGCCATTGTGCCCGCGTAGAGCTCGGCCTCGCAGGACGACAGGGAGACTGCAGAGGACCGAGTGGAGCGCCAGCTGATGACTCCGCTACCAAGGGTGAAGCAGTACCCTTGGGAGGAGCGTCTGTTAGTCTGGTCATCGGCCCATAAGGAGTCTGTGTATCCCTCGAGCTTGACTGGAGAGGTACCACCAAGAGTGAGGATGTGAGACTTGGTGGCTTGTAGATAGCGGAGGACCCTCTTGGCTGCAGACCAATGCGAGGCAGTGTAGCGTCCGGGGGAGACGTACCGAGAGAGGACACTAACGGGGTAAGCCAAGTCTGGTTGAGTGCACATCATGGCATACATTAGGTGAACCGACTAGCTCAGGGTACGGGTCCTTGCAGGCGTCAGGAGAAGGAACTGGAGGGGCCGTGAGCTGATGCTGTAGTGGGAGTGGAGTGGAGACAGAGTTACTGGAGTCCATGTCGAACCGCTTGAGAAGGTTGTCGATGTAGGACTCCTGGGAGAGGGTGATCGTGCAAAGCCTGGCGGTCACGAGTGATCTCCATCCCCAGGTAGTCCTTGAGGTCACCAAGATCCTTCATGAGAAGGGCGGAGCTGAGAGCAGACTGGACAGCTGCCATGTCGGCTGGATCTCTGGCGGCTAGAATGAAGTCGTCGACGTAGACGAGGATGTAGAAGGGCTCGGAGGAGTGACGAACGAAGAGACTGGAATCTGAGGCAGAGGGATGGAAGTCAAGTGCGAGGAGGACTTCCTTCACCTTGTTGTGCCACTCACGAGGAGCCTGCTTGAGGCCATACACTGGGCGCTTCAGCTTCCACACTGTGTTGGCAGGGTAAGTGCCAGGAAACCCCGGTGGGCGTTCCATGTGAACATTGAGCTGGCCTTGGAGAAAGGCGGAGGAGGCATCCATGGACTTGATCTCGAAGTTGCCGTGAGCGGCTATATCAAGAAGAGCGCGCACAGTCGGGAGCTTGGCCGTGGGCGAGAATGTTTCGAAGAAGTCGAGATACTCCTTCTGGGTGAAACCCTTCGCCACGTATCGTGCCTTGAACAGTGGAGCTTCGCCTGGGAGTTGTTTGACTCGGAAGATCCATTTTCCGCTGACGATGTTGACAACGGAAGGGGGAACAACATCGTCAAAGCTGTTGTTGCGAATGAACGCCTCGTTCTCCACATCCATTGCTGCCTTCCACTCCTTCTTATAAGGCCCCGAGAGAGCTTCCTCTTTTGTGCGAGGAGTTGGAATGGTCGGGTTCTCGGTGAAGTTGAGGGAAGGGCAGTCAGTAATGTCCGGGAAGATGTGAGAGAGAAATTGGCAGATCGCATGAAGGTCAAACAGCTCCTCATGCCTGTCCTCCAGAAGTGCACGGGGGGGAATACGGATAGAGGGGACATCACCCCCGGCAGGAGGAGGCGGGGTGACCGAACACCGGATGGAGAAGGCGGCTGGTCCCCAGGCGAGAGGCAGAGCTGGTCCCTTGGAACGAGTGTGACTAGAGACCGGAGACGAAGGCGGCTGCGGTGGGACCGGAGGGACTGGGCGCCTCCGATAGGAGACTGGTGAGCCGGGCTCGACGCGCGGGGAAGGCGGAGCAGGAGGAGGTGCCGCTGCGGAGGATACTGGGGAGGCTGAGTGAGATACGCCGGACGGAGAAGGCCCTGGAGAAGGGGCAGCGGCCGGAGGTGGGGCATCGAAGTCTGCCCAAACAAGCGTCGGGGGAGGTGGAGGAGGCTCGCCCGTGGTCGCAGAGTGGAATGGGCGTGTCTCATCGAAGACGACATCACGGCTGCAAATCAGCTGTCTGGTGATTGGGTTGAGGAATAAGTAGTCTGGGGAGTCGGAGTTGTGCCCCAGGTACATGCAGGCCTGGGTTTTGGGACCAAGCTTACCACCTTGCATCCTGCGCGTGTGGGGGCGTAGCAACACATACGCGGTACACCCCCAGACGCATAGAGAGCGGGCTGAAGGCGTGATCCCAAGCCAGAGAGCGGTAGGTGTGGTGTCGGGCCGGTGGGGATGCGGATAAAGATTGTAGAGGAGTGCCGCATGGAAGAGGGTGTTGGTTAGAGAAGGCTATAAGCAGATGATTCAGTGGCTCCTTGGAAATTTCTGGCAGCACTTCGTTATGACGCCCAGAAAACTCGCGACCTTCGAATAGCTATATCCAAAACTCCAATCGGTGAAACGATCTGAAAATCGGATATGTTGTCGCTGGCAGCGTCAGCTTTCCACTGAAAGTTGAATCACTCGATTCCGTAGCCTAACGAGTGAGCTATGGCGTTTGGCGCACTGGGGGGTAATCTGCCCTAGGAGAAGTTGACAGTCCTCAGAGTCACTATGATTGAAGCTTACAAGATCAGAGGCATAATAGAAAAGGCATTGAAGCACAGTTGGAAGGTGGGGTAGGAAGGGAAGGATGAAAGGGAAGGACCCTGGAGGCCCATGGTCAAGAACATGACAAGAGTCAAAGTTTTGACTCCCCATCCTCAGGTTCAGCCAGCCTGGCAAGACAAAATTCACACTGTGCCAGGTTGGCCTCCAAACCCCAAATGCTGCAGCTGCAAGGTGAGGACAAAAGTCCCACACATGCTGGTCCCTCCTCGTTATAGGGCTCTCCAACTTTGGTGTAGCAGCTGACAAGGACTTCCAATGAGTTGTAACAAATCCATCAAACATTTCTTCGTAACTTCTTCATATGTGCTCCGATTCCAACAATTCTTGGCTCGTTGGAATGTGCTCGATGTCATGCACAATCTAAGCACTTCTGCACAAGCACAAGATGAACATGCAAGGACATGCAAACCCAACAAACCATACAAACAACGTAGCACACAAAACACATGCAAACGAAATGATGCGAACAGACGACAGGATGACGTGCAAACGAATATGCACCAACACACTCCCCCTCAGACTGTCGGCTTGTTTCGCCGTCTCTAGTTCAAGGACATTCCCGCCATCCTCGCACAGCGCCAGTGTGGCTCTTCAGCTAGCCGCTTGGTAAGGAAGTCGGCTGGCTGTTGCTGAGTTTTCACTCGCACGGAATCCAATCCCTTCCAGTGCACTGGCCAGCCTGTTGTACCAGCATCTCGGGGCCTGCTTCAAGCCATAGATGGCCTTGTTAAGTTTGCAGACACGACGGTTCCATCCTCATAGCCAGGTGGTTGAACCATGTACACCTCCTCTTCCACAATGCGTACAGAAAAGCGGTTACGATGTCCATCTGCTTCACCTTCCATTTGCGCACAGCAGCTACCGCCAGCAGCACACGTAGCGTTGGAGACTTAGCAGTTGGGGCAAACACTTCTTTGTAATCTTCCTTCTCTTTCTGCTGAAACCCCTTTGCCACCAGCCTGCTCTTGTAAACTGATGGCTCTCTTTCTCATCCGTCTTGATTTTCGCCAGCCACTTGCACTGTATTGCCTTCTTCCCATTTGGCAAGTACACCAGGTCCCATGTGTGATTCTCCATCTGGCTGTTGTACTCTGCATCTCTTGAAATGAGCCACTTCCCCCGTTGAGGCCCGGCTAGCACATGATCCATGCTCGGAGGTTGTATTGGTGCGTGAAAGCAGTATGCAGGCTCCTCGTCATCTGACTCTTGGTCATCACCCAAGAACAGCACTGCATCTTCGCCTTGAGCCTGTTCCTGCTGCTCAGTTGTGGCTCCTCCACTTGTGGAGCTCAACAGCTTTCTCGTTGCCATTCTGGTACGTGCAGGGTAGATGGTTGGATTTACCCATTCTTTCACCTTCACCCAATCCTTTGTCCCCCCACCAATCTGTTTCCTTCGCTTTGGCAGACTTGGTGTTTTGGAAGCCTCTTGCTGCTGCTGCTCCGGATCATTGACTTCAGCATCAGCTGCAATATCCTCATTACTTCCTTCATCAGTACCGCTTGCCGTTGGCGCAGTGACTTCGCTGTCCGCAGGTTCGGACAGATCGAAGTGCATAGTGATCTCTTCCAGCTGCTGGGTGACCCTTGCCTCCGGCTGCTTCTCCCACTTGCCATACATGATGTTCTCCACAAATTTGACATCCCGACTGTCAAACAGCACATTCTTTGAGGGCTCCCAGAGTAGCCACCCTTGCTCTCTGCCGCAAGCCCAAGGTGCACACACCAAAGTGCAGATGCTCCAAGCTTTGTCCTGTACGGTTTAGGGACATGCGCCACTGCCATGCATCCGAACACTCGAAGCATGTCCACTGGAGGCTTCTTTCCAAGCCACCTCTCCAGCGGCACCCACATATCATCAGCCACCTTTGTGAGTACGCGGTTCCTTGCCACTGTAGCATGCCTCACCGCATGAGGCCACATGGAGTTCCCCAGCCCTGATTCGATCAGCAGCGCTCGCGCAGTTTCCAGGATGGTCCTATTAGCCCTCTCAGCAACGCCATTTGACTGAGGGGTATAGGACGTCGTTAGCTGATGCTCAATGCCTTGTTTCTTGAGCCACGCAGTCAGATCTCCTCCTAGAAACTCTCCACCTCGGTCGGTTCTGATGCTCTTGCATGGGTGCCCAGATTGTCGCTCGACGAACGGCAGCCAATCATCTCGTATTGTTGAGGCAGCATGATCCTTCTGCTTCAACGGGTATGCCCACATCAGCCGACTCCAGTCATCAACTATTGTCAGGAAGTACCTTTCCCCCTTACTTCCTCGGAACTGGAAAAAGGTCCTACCAGGTCCATGTGCACCAGTTCCAGTGCTGCCTTGCTTTTCCCAGCTACGCCGTGAAAGGGGAACCGTGTGAACTTGCTCAGCAGACACGTCTCGCACTTGGTATCATTTGGTTGCCCAGAAAGCTTGAGCCCCTTTACTGCTTCTTCCTTATGCAGTTGCTGCAGCAATGGCATAGCCACATGCCCTAGACGCCTGTGTGCGGTTTCCCAATCAGTCTCCCCCGACCTTGCAGAAACCGTCACTCCTGCAGCACTAACTGCATTACACTCCTCCTGGACTCCAGAACCCGCCTTTACTTCTCCCAACTCCTTCTTTGTTGATTCCCATATCAGTGCAGGGATCTGCCACATGGATCTGAAGACATCTCTGCTTTCGTGTAAATCCCATAACACACGATCTCCTCGCAGCCCCTTGAATGTTTTGGATCCATTGGTGGTGGTGCTGACTCCGGCCTGGCCTAGCTTGCGCAGCGATATCAGATTGGCCTTCAACCCCGGTACGAGTAACACGTCCTTCAGCACAACCAGTCCACCATCAGGTGCTCTGAATGCAGCTCGACCAACTCCAGCGACCTTCACTGCATGTCCGGATGCTGAGCGCACTTCAGAGATTGGAGGCGCTCGCACAGCATCCAGCAAGTCCTTGCGTGGTGTCATTGTCCATGCAGCACCAGAGTCCATGACCCACATGTTAAACGGGTGCAGTTCCTCTCCAGCCTTTGCAACAGTCGTGTCACAATCATCTTTGTCACACACATGGTAGAACTGTCCAGCATTCCTCTCCTCATTTCCCATTCCTCTGTCATCCTTGGAGGTTTCTTCAGCAGGATCAGCTACCATGTTGTCACCTCCATGTGGTTTCTTTTCTCCATTCCCCTTTTGCGATTGGTTCCAAGGGGTCCACCAGTCGGGCTTGGTAGAGCAGCGAAACCATGGATGCCCTTCTTCCTTGCAATACCAGCACTCTCCCCTCAAGCGTGGTTCACTGTTGTCATTGTTTGAGTGACCACCTCTTCCTCTTGGACCAGCGCCACCACGCCCCCGCTGGTTCCAAGTCCCGCGACCACCTTGGCTGTGGTAAGAGCGACCGCGATTGCCACGCCCTCGATCCCTCCATGTCCCTTGCATGGCATAGCCGCTGGTGCTGTCATCACCTCCGCGCAGTGTATAGCGACGAAAATCTTCTTCCAGAATCTTGGTGCGAATCCACTCCAATGTCCATTGACTTTGGTTTTGTGGCAAGCTGAGTCCGCTTATAAATTGCAGCCAAGACTCCGTCAGCAGGCTGAGCATCTTGAGACACTTTGTCTGCTCTGGGTACGTGATGCCTGCAATCGCCAATTTCGCGTAGAGTTCCCTCATCTTGTCCAGTACGGGCTGCACAGGTTCATTCTCGCTCAACCGCAGCATGGACAGCTCCCGATCCAGCATGAGAGAAGCGGCAACCGATGTCGGAGCGTGCAGGTCCTTGAGCACTGCCCATGCCTTGGGCCCACAATCAATTTCCGGTAGCAGATGCATGATGTGATGCCTCTGGTTCAGCTCCAAGCTTTGTGACAGTAGATAATACCCAGCAGATGAACGTTCATCCCAGTCCGCTTGCTCTGCCATTTCCTTTTGGCCTTGGCTCCATTCCAATCATGAGCTTCAAGAGGCCAATTTGTCGAAAGTAGAGCTGCATCTTTCCATGCCCAATCATTATAGCCATCTCCAGAGAACTTCTCAATGGTGAAGTTCTTCAGCACCTCCTTTAAGCAGTGACCCCCTGGCTTGTACGCGCTCCCCTTTGCGCTGCCAATGCCAGAATCTTGGGTTTGAGCTGCCTCCTTGGACTGAAGTATCACCTCCACCAGAGTCCTCCTTATCTCCCATCGTATTTTAGGTCCCAAATGGCGTGATAATAGGCTCTGATACACTTGTGGGTTTAGAGAAGGCTATAAGCAGATGATTTCAATGGCTCCTTGGAAATTTCTGCAGCACTTCGTTATGACGCCCAGAAAACTCGCGACCTTCGAATAGCTATATCCAAAACTCCAATCGGTGAAACGATCTGAAAATCGGATATGTTGTCGCTGGCAGCGTCAGCTTTCCACTGAAAGTTGAATCACTCCGAATTCCGTAGCTTAACGAGTGAGCTATGCGTTTGGCGCACTGGGGGGTAATCTGCCCTAGGAGAAGTTGACAGTCCTCAGAGTCACTATGATTGAAGCTTACAAGATCAGAGGCATATAGAAAAGGCATTGAAGCACAGTTGGAAGGTGGGGTAGGAAGGGAAGGATGAAAGGGAAGGACCCTGGAGGCCCATGGTCAAGAACATGACAAGAGTCAAAGTTTTGACTCCCCATCCTCAGGTTCAGCCAGCCTGGCAAGACAAAATTCACACTGTGCCAGGTTGGCCTCCAAACCCCAAATGCTGCAGCTGCAAGGTGGGGACAAAAGTCCCACACATGCTGGTCCTCCTCGTTATAGGGCTCTCCAACTTTGGTGTAGCAGCTGACAAGGACTTCCAATGAGTTGTAACAAATCCATCAAACATTTCTTCGTAACTTCTTCATATGTGCTCCGATTCCAACAATTCTTGGCTCGTTGGAATGTGCTCGATGTCATGCACAATCCAAGCACATCTGCACAAGCACAAGATGAACATGCCAAAGACATGCAAACCCAACAAACCATACAAACAACGTTAGCACACAAAACACATGCAAACGAAATGATGCGAACAGACGACAGGATGACGTGCAAATGAATATGCACCAACAGAGGCATATCCCCAGAGTGACCGTGGTGCGTTGGTGTGACTGAGGAGGCAGCGAGCAATCTGAACCAAGGTGTGGTTGCGGCTCTCTGCAATGCCATTCTGCTGCGGGCTTTTGGGGAGCGTGAAGGTTTGCCGAATCCCTTGGGCCGCACAGAAGTTATCGAGTTTGCCATTGCGAAATTCTCCCCCGCCATCAGAATGGAGGCACTTCAGAGGAGTGCCGAACGTGACTTGAGCCTGGCGCACCCACGCCATGATGACATCAGGTGCCTCCGCCTTGGTATGCAGGAGGTGCACAGAAACATACCGCGAGTGGTCATCGACTAGTGTAAGAAAGTACCGATGACCGCCTCGGGATGCGACTGGAGCTGGGCCCCAGACATCCATGTGCACTAGGTCCAGCGGAGCAGCTGCGACGGATGGGGAGGAAGGATGCGGCTGCTGCCTGAGCTTGCTCTTGATGCAGTCCAGGCAGGTGGGTGCAGGTGAGTCTGTTGGTAGAGGAAGCGCCGACGGGAGGCCAAGAAGAAGTTTCTTGGAAGCGATGTCGGCAAGTGTATGGAAGTTGGGGTGACCCAAGCGATGGTGGTAGAGGATGGTTGGGTTGGCGAAGCTGCGACACGAACACGGAGTGGTGCTGGCAGCTTGCGCTTGGGAGAGGGCGGCGAGAGGTGCAGGTGAACGCAGCGTGTAGAGCTTGCTACTGTTGAGTGTGAAGCATGCTAGGAGCTTGTTGGACTTAGGGTCGAAGAGGTCACAGTGATGCGAGTGTGCTGGGAAGATCGTGGTGACGCCTGCCCATTGGAGCTCGTGTTGGGCCACGAGATTGTGGCGTAGTGTGGGAACACACATGCCGGTGACACTGCCCGAAGGAAAAGCTGGGCACGGAACTGTGGAGGAGCCCTTGGCGTGTGTTGTGAAACTGGAGTCTGCTCCTAGTAGACGGATTGGTGTCTCGTATGGCTTGAAGGAGTGTTCTTCCTTGAGAACCGTGTGAGTGGCCCCACTGTCGAGGGTGAACTCTATTGTGGCTGAGGTGCTTTGTGAGCCGGGACACTGCAAAATTGTCTCATCGATCATGGCAGTGCCAGGGAACAACATGTGGAGGCGCACATCAGCAGTGGGAGCTACAGCAGCCTGCACGGATTCCTGGGCTTCGACTTGATTGACCTTGCGAGGAGCACGATTGACCATCCAGCTTGGCGGCTTCGAGGCGGTCCCATTGACGGCATACCAATCGTCATCCTTTTTCTTGAAGCAGGAGGCATGGGCGTGGTTGGTGCCGCCACACACCTGGGCCAGCACGAGGGCCGCGCTTGATGACGTAGGGACACGGGGGGAAGCGGTTGCGCTGGAATGGCGCCGAAGTGGCATAGGCTTGAGGCACGGGAGCGCGGATTGCATTGGCCTTGGCTTGAGCGCTGTTGTCCTTTTCGGCAGAAAGGAGCGCGGATGAGACCTTGGCAAATGTGAGGTCTGCAGGAGCAAGGCCCAAGAGCATCTTGCGTGTGACTTCGTATGCCGGAGTGAGGCCGACTAGGAGAGCGGCTGCAGGGGCTTGCTCGGGGAAGACTGTCCCCAACTGTTTGAGTTCACCATGAATGGACTGCACCTTGGTGACATAGTCCGCCATGCCTGGCGAGTCCTCGAGCCGCACTTGGAACATGCTGGGGATGAGTATAGCAACTCCCACTGCAGTCTTGTTCAGGAAGCGATCTTCGAGGTAGAGCCAAATGGCGTTGGCAGAGGGGTAGTTGTTAGGTTTCGACGAGTTCGGGAGGAGTGGTGCCTGTTAGAAACAGAAAGGTTCAGTTTATTGATGAAGCAAAGGCATTACATAGGAAGAGAGAGATGAGCTAGGAAGGGAAGGTTGGAAGGGAAAGGGGGGTTAGGACCAATCACAAGGGAGGGAGGATCCTTCCAAATGTGGTTGACCACCAGTTGGAGGTGGTCCAAGTGTGGTGTACCACCAGTGGTTTAGCCAACCCACTTGTGGTGCCCCCACAATTGTGGTCCTTGTGTTTGGGGGCTCCAACCACAATTGGGTTGGATTGACACCCCAACACAGGTGTACACCCAACTAGGGATGTAAACACAATATACACAACTAGCATAGCATGGTATATTCTAACACAACCCCATAGCATGCAAAGCTAGTGTATATGTAGGGTACAACCCCAGAATCAGGAAGGGGGGCGGGGCCCAAGGCCGAGAAGGCGGAGGAGGGCAGAGTGCGCGGTCTTCGGGAGGGCCTTGGTGAAGATGTCGGCCAAGTTGGCCTCTGCAGCGATCTTGCGGACCACCAAGTGACCTTGCTGGACCAACTCTCGAACGAAGAAGTAGCGGAGTTCAATGTGCTTGGAGCGGCCATGGAAGACAGGGTCCTTTGTGAGATGGATGGTGCTGGCGTTGTCGCACCAGAGGGTGGGACAGCGCTGAGGAGCACCGATCTCAGCAAGGAGGAAGGTGAGCCAGCGAGCCTCCCTGAGCGGCCATGGTGCAAGCATAGAGCTCAGCCTCGCAGGATGAGAGGGCGATGGAGGAGGAGCGAGTGGAGCGCCAGCTGATGAGGCCGCTGCCAAGGGTGAAGCCGTAGCCTTGAGAGGAACGGCGATCCGGCTGGGAGTCAGCCCAGGAGGAGTCACTGAAGCCAGAGAGGAGGGGAGGAGAAGAGCCTCCGAGGGTGAGGACATAGTCCTTGGTACCACGGAGGTAGCGGAGGACCCGCTTCGCTGCAGCCCAGTGCTCATCAGTGTGGCGACCCGGTACCGACGAATCGAGCAAGAACACTGATGGGGTAGGCAAGGTCGGGGGCGGGTGCACATCATAGCGTACATCAGCGAGCCGACGAGCTCAGCGTAAGGATGGTCAGAGGAGGAGGGAGCAGGAGGAGGGGCAAGCTGGTGGTCGGTCTGCAGGGGAGTGGTAACCGGCTTGGCCTGCGCCATGTCGAACCGCTGCAAGACTTGGTCGATGTAGAAGGACTGAGAGAGGGTAATGGTGCGCGATGTGCGGTCCCGGGTGATGGTCATGCCCAGATAGTGCTTGAGCTCACCCAGGTCCTTGCACTTGAGGCGCGCATGCAGGGCGTCCTTCACTTGCTGCATGGCGGCAGCATCGTCAGCGAACAGGATCATGTCGTCGACATACACCAGGATGAAGAAGCGGGTGGGAGAGGAGCGAAGGAAAAGGCTGGCATCAGACTGAGAGGCATGGAACCCCAAGGACTGCAGAGTGGCGGCCAGCTTGTTGTGCCACTCGCGAGGAGCCTGCTTGAGGCCATAAACCGGGCGGCGCAGCTCCCAGACTGTGTTGGCAGGGAAGGCTGCATGAAAGCCTGGAGGCCGCCGCAAGAGGACCCGCTCCTGGAGCTCGCCTTGCAGGAAGGCGTTGGAGACATCCATGGAGGCAATCTCCATGCCAATGCGAACAGCATAGTCGAGGATGGCACGGAGAGTTGGGAGCTTGGCAGTGGGAGAGAATGTCTCCCAGTAGTCGATGCCATGGGTTTGGGTGAAGCCCTTGGCACAATACCGGGCCTTGTAGACCGGCTCCTCACCCGGCAGCTGCTTCACTCGGAACACCCAGCAGGCCTTCAACAATGACGTCGTCAGGAGAGGGGACAATGTTAACGAATGAGGCATTGCGGATGAAGGCCTCGCATTCAGCAAAGATAGCCTGGATCCACTTGGCAGCATCGGGGCAGGTGATGGCCTCAAGGAAGTTGGACGGAGTGAATCTGGTGGGAGCGGTAGCGATGCCAAGGATGAGGAGGCCAAGGAAGCCCGGGTAGAGAGGCGTGAGGGAAGGTGTTTGTTGCTGAACGCCAATGAGCTCCTCATGGGAGTCCTCAATGAAGGGAAGGGAGGGTGGGGGTGGTGTTGGCCAACCCCATGGATGGCCTATGAGTGGGCGTGAGAGCGAGTGTGGATGCGTGGGAGGATGAACGGAGAGGTGGTGCGGCGATGCCGATGAGGTTGCTGCAGTGGCTGCTGTGCTGCTGCTGCTGCTGCTGCTGCTGTGGCTGCTGCTGGTGCTGCTGCTGCACCTCCTGCTGCGGCTGCTGTTGCTGCACTGCCTGCGGTTGCTGCTGGCTGCTGCTGCTGCTCCCATCCCGCTGCTGCACCTCCTGCTGCTGCTGCTGGCTGCTGCTGCTGCTGCGCTGCTGCTGCTGCTGCTCCTGCTCTGCTGCGCCGCTGCTGCTGCTTGCTGCTGCTGCTGCTGCTGCTGCTCTGTCTGCTGCTGCCTGCTGGCTGCTTGCTGCTGCTGCTGCTGCTGCTGCTTGCTGCTGCTGCTGCTGCTGCTGGCTGCTGGTGCTGGTGCGATGAGGAGGCAGAGTGAGCAGGGGAGTCAGGGGACAGCTGGGTCGTAAATGTCACCTGAGGAAGGAGGAGGGGGAGGAGCAGGATTTGGAGGAAGGAGGGGAGCCTGGGGAAGGAGTGGGGAATGACAGCATCAGCCCAGGTGAGGGGGGCGGGAGAGAGGAGGAAGGGGGTCGGAAGCGGAACAGAATGATAGAACGGGATGCTCTCATCGAACACCACGTCACGGCTCTGTAGGAGGCGGCCTGAGGACGGGTGAAGGAAGAGGTAAACCAGGGGCAGAGCGAGCGTGGCCAAGGTAGACACACTCAATGGCCTTGGAGGCGAGCTTTCCTGCCTTGCCGAGAGCGGTCAGGTGGGGGGATGAGGACATATGCCTTGCAACCCCAGATACGGAGAATGGCAGCATCTGGCTTGGTGCTAGCCCAGAGCTCAGTGGGAGTGACAGACTGGCGTTGAGGATGTGGGTAAAGATTAGTAAGGAGAGCAGCATGGACAAGGGCATAGCCCCAAAGAGAAGGGGGCGTGGAGGCATGAGTGAGGAGGCAGCGGGCCGTCTTGGTGATCTCACGAATGCGACTCTCAGCAACACCGTTCTGCTGAGGGGAGTGGGGAAGGGTATGAGTCTGCTGGATGCCATGGGTTGAGCAGTAGGAGGAGAGGGTGCGGTTGAGAAACTCACCACCGCCGTCGGAATGGAGGCGGCGGATGGGGCGACCAAAGTGGACTCGGCACTGCTCGGCCCAGGTAACGATGACAGCAGGGGCCTCGGCCTTCGTGTGGAGGAGGAACACCGAGGAGTACCTGCTGTGGTCGTCGACTAGGACAAGCATGTACCGGTGCCCTTGGCGGAAGGGGAAGGGTTAGGGCCCCAGAGGTCCATGTGGACGAGGTCAAGGGGGCAGCAGCAAAGGAAGGATGACTGAGGTGAGGCTGTTGTTTGAGCTTTCCATGAATGCATGTGGCGCATGGGGGAGCGGAAGAGGACGGGAGGGGAGGAAGAGTGGGGGGAAGACCGTCAAGCAAGCGGGAGGAGACGGCTTTACGAAGTGTGGGAAAGTTCATATGACCAAGGCGGTGGTGGATGAGAACAGCGGGGTGGGACAGTGCGCGACAAGAGCATGGGGAGGAGGTGGAGTTGGAGGAAGGTGGCTCTAGAGGGAGGGGAGGGGGGAGAGTGGAGGTGCCTGCACGAGTGGTCACGTGGCATGAGGAGGGGCGGGGTGTGCGGAGGATGTACTGACGAGAGCGAGGGCAAAGTGGGAGGCGATGAAGGAGGCGGCGAGTGGGGCCGTGGAGGAGGTCACAGTAGGTGGCAGAGGCGGGGAAGAGGGTAGTGATGCCAGCCTGTTGGAGTTCACGAATGGAGAGCAGGTTATGACGAAGGGAGGGAATGTGGAGACCAGTGACCACTCCAGAGGGGAAGGGGGGCAGGGGAGGGTGGAGAGATGAGTGCAAGGGATGGAGAAGCTGGAATCAGCACCATGAACGTTGGTGGGGAAAGGGAGGGAGGTGAGGGTGCCGGCGTCTTTGAGGGCAGTTTCAGTGGCACCACTATCGAGAACAAAGTCAATCGTGAGCGAGGAGGGAGCTGAAGACACGGGGTACTGGAAATCACTGGCATTAAAAACAGAGGGATACATGGAAGTGGAAGCAGGGGAAGAACGCATGAGCTCGCCTAGAAAGCTGGAGTGGGAGGCGGGAGCACTAGGGGAAGGAGAGCCCCAGAGGGGAAAGCCAGGAGGACCTGGTGTGGCTGTGGCAGCCATGGCGGCGGTGCCAAAGCCAAGCTGCTGCTGCTGCCATGCAGATGCTGCGGCTGCGGCTCCTGCAGCTGCGGCTGCAGCCTGACCACCAGAGCCCCACTGCTGCTGCTGCAGCAGCTGCAGCTGCTGGAAGCGGCGAAACTGCTGCAGCTCCTGGGGAGTTATGGGGTCAGCGACAGAGGAGGAGGAGGAGGAGAGCTGAAGATGAGAGGGGAGGAAAGACGGAAGAGTTTTGACATCCTGGAGAGAGGGGCGGGGATCCATGGCAGACCAGCGTGGGGGTGCCAGTGTTGCCGCGCTCGAACCAGGCGTCATCATACGCCTTGAAGCAGGTCGCGGGGGGATGGTTGGTTTGGGGTGGCAGCGCTCACCCGGCACCGCCCTGGGACCAAAACGGCGAAGATAGGAACATGGGGGGAGAGTGCCAGGGCGGCCACCACGGCTACCAGATGAGCCACCACTGCCTCCACCCCCACCACTGCTGCCACCCTCGACCCCGCCACCACCGCCGCCGGTCCGCTGCCCCCACAACCGCCACCTCCACCCCTCCCTGAGGGTTGGTGCGGCCGCCACGTGGGCGCCCGCCACGACGCGGCTGTGTGACTGCAAGCTGGG